ATATCATTAATAAATTATTATTTTATTTAAAAAATACTAAATTCAATTAAATTTTCCAGGCAAATTTGCCTGGAATACAGTTTAAGAGATAGTCCAAGCATAAGCTATGAATATGAGTATATTACTACTTAAGACATAATATAATATTGGAATGAAAAAATCAAATTTTCTACAATAACATTTTGAACAGCATGATCTACTTAATAATAATAATATTATTATTCTGATTGCTGCACTATGAGCACTTATTAAAAATATTATTACTGTACTAAAACCTTTTTTCTCATAAAAGAATAAGAATATTATTAGGATAAAATAGATAGAATAAGTTATTCAATTTAACCATATTGCATATGCAGGTTTAAGAATGTTTAGAATTGTTTCTAAGATTATAAGAATTAGAAGAATTACAGTAACCGTAATATAAGGTATGTATTTGGTTATTTCAAAGTTAAACATATTAGTAAGTTGTAAGCTTGTTGATACTGTAGGAAGTAAATAACTTAAGAAAAAAGATATTTAAAAAAAGGGTTTTCTGCTATTATTTCTATAATTGGAATATAAATTTGTATATTTTAAGTTAACAGTAGGATTGTTTTCTTTAAATTTATAAACCCTTATCAGTGTTATATATAACTTTGTAACACTTTGCAATACATTACTTTTTATATTTCTATAGAAGCAATTTATAAATTAATGTTACAGTATATGAATGAATTTTAGATAATAATAATAGTGGATTAAATTGTAAGGATATTATGTACATACATTGTAAAAGGGTAGATCGTTGCTTGTAATGGATTTTTCTATATTTGATAGGTCGGAGGCATATTAGATTTATCAAACTAGAAGGATTTGGCTTATTTGTATGCTGAGGTGCTCAGGTCAAATCTAGCCAAAATTAGTTAGTATAGAAGAAGTTCAATTTATTGAATTTATTGCATTTTTTGCATTTCTCACATTTAGTTGATTTATCATATTTAGTGCATTTAGTCGACTTAGCGAATATATTTATTGTACTAAGTAGTGCGAAAGTATAAAAGCACTGTCTTTTGTATGCAATAAAGAGAGCTTTAACTGAAGAGAGTTTAATGGTTTAAGATAAAGAAATAAGAATAATTAACTTGTGATTGATAAGTTCTTTAAGTAGAAGCATTTGTTCTACTAACCTCCAATAAGTAAAATCTATAGTTACTTGAATTCATAACCAAATCCTGTAACTCTGGGTAAAGAGATTTGTGATGTAATCAAGAGCTCTAATCTGACACTATCACTAGAAGCCCAAAATATCCTAGTTACTTGAACCAAGTCTTTCTACACCTCAATCATAGCTTTACCACTACTAAGGGTTTGGTTGTATTAGTTGTAGTATTTTGGTTAGAGTATTTTAGTTAGTTTGTATTGGTGTTAAAGTGTATTCTTGTATTGAAGGATGGGATTTGCCTATCTCAGTTTGGTGGTAACTGTGAGATTAAACTTCTCTAATCATCCAAATCACAATACCAACTCAAATACCTATTGTACAAAATAAAGAATGGCCAATTTAAAGAAACATTAGTTCAAATGTTTAAGAATATCCTCAGAGAAGTTAAAGAAGAGAAGGAAAAAGCTACTTATTGCTACACCGGCAATGAAAAAGAACATCATGCACAAGTTTCTAAAGAAAAGACTGAACAATTAACCTAAGAATGACCAAAAAGAGTAGACAATATGACCTTGGAAGATTGATGCAAAAGATGGATAGAAAAAGTGAACCGATTTTGAATGACCTCATATGCCAAAACATTTGTCCCTCAAACCACTAATCTGATACTCGTAAATATTGTAAGACCAAGCCAATGAGTCCAAGAAGCTTATATTGCTATTGTGGTTAAGAATTCAGATGCAAAGAGGCAGAATAATTGGAATATCATGACCTTTTGGAAGTATAAAAAATCTCAGCTGGGTACTGAACCTGAAACCTATATAGAAAGTGAAAGCGATAAAAATAAAATAGAAAAGGATGAGGATAAAGGAATAAGAGTTGAAAAGAAACTCCCAACAACTTATCTGAAACATGCGGAAATAAAAATCCAGATGAGAAGTATGGCCTTGAACTCTACTAGCAAAATAGAACAGGGATTGGAAAAGACGATTATAAGCCATCCACCTATTATCAAAATTTAGCAGAGATGCAACACGTTGATGGAATTAAAGTTGAAAATAAGGAAGTCGACAATAGTGATGAAAGGAGTAAGAAATTTTCTGATAAAAGACCTTCACTTAAACCCTCAAAAAGTGTATCTGCAGAAGATGAACATAAAACTGTTGCTAATCTCTAAAAATCATATAAGAAGGGATCTATTAATGGAACATATAATGTTGATAATAGTTATCAACATAGAATCAGTGTTGAAAGGGATGAAAATAAAGCATCCAAATGGCATTCGAAACCTACTAAAAATGGCGATTCAAAAGGCAAAGCAATCTTGGATGGTGCTACCATCATGGTATACAAACCAGTAAAGATACAGCATTCAAATAGAATATGAAACTATCCGAAAAAGCTCAAAAGATTGATGTTAAGGTAATGGAAGGAAAAGCCCTACTGCAACCGAAGAGTACGCTGCCAGTTAAACATGAGAAATATGAAAAATTAAGTAGACAAAGGTGGCAAAAATTAAAATACAACAGTATTACAAAGCAATACGGAAAATATTTCATATTTATACGCATCCAACGATCAGAGATCATTTCGCCCCAACAAAGCTGAACTTTCGTAATGCTATTTATTTATTCCAATTTTATGGCTATAACTTGGTCACAAATCTTCTCTGTGAACTACTGCTGCTGCAAGAATGGATTATCGAAGGGTTGTAGCAAGAAATCGTCCACCAGGAAATCATAAAGGAATTCAGTATTGACTCTGGAACAAAATAAGAAATCATTAGTGCTGAATATGCAAGGAATTTTTTAACTCAGAATTTTTAAGACTAAGTTGTTAAAATATATATCAAAAAAAAAAAAAAAATTTAATCCAAATCTTTAAAACCTAACGTTAAGTTAAATTCAGTCCAGGTCGTCAGTATCCTGGCATTAGTGGTAAAAGATAATATTTGCGCAAAAACATCTCTACAAGTAAAAAGAGTAAATGTTAGAAAGTTGATATAGTATAGCATAAAGAAATAATAGAAAAGATTTAGAAAAAACTTAGTAATAAGGACATAACAAGTAATCTGGTTGGTTGTGACTTCTATGTGTGAGAATGTGACACATTATCAAGAACAGTAAAGATCAATAAAGTGAAAATAGATGGCAAGAAGTAAGGATGTGTCCATATCAATAGCAGTTGAGCTATAAGAAGAAGCCCTGGATCGATATCAAAGCGTAACTGATTATTGAAGAATTAGGGGATAGGAATAAGGAAGGAAACATCCGCATTGCCTGCTGGATAAGACTTGAAAAAAGCACCAAAGGAATGTCAAAGTGTATCCACAAGTTAATCAAAACGGCATCAGAATTGAAAAGAATGAACCTAAAGCATGTGAAAAACAACTTACCCAAAAACTTTGACCCAGGATAGGAATCTGACAATAATCCAGTTAGGTTTAGGTAGTGGGTGGCTAGCATCTAGACAATTGCACAGATTTTTAGTTAGATTTATTTTTACTTTTATTTTTTTTTTTATTTTTTCTATTTTTTTTATTTTCTCTTTGTTATTAGTTTTTCTTGGTTTTCTTTTTCTTTTTCGATTATGTTGATTTTTCTCGTGGAACTCGAAATTAAGCTGGGGAGACTGTGAAAGGGTAGATCGTTGCTTGTAATGGATTTTTCCATATTTGATAAGTCGGATGCATATTAGATTTAGCAAACTAGAAGGATTTGGCTCGTTTGTATGCTGAGGTGGCTCAGGTCGAATCTAGCCAAAATTAGTTAGTATGGAGGAAGTTCAATTTATTGAATTTATTGCATTTATTGCATTTCTCGCATTTAGTTGATTTATCGTATTTAGTGCATTTAGTCGACTTAGCGAATATATTCATTGTACTAAGTAGTGCGAAAGTATAAAAGCACTGTCTTTTGTATGCAATAAAGAGAGCTCTAACTGGAGGGAGTTCGATGGTCTAAGTTAAAGAAATAAGAGTATTTAACTTGTGATTAATAAGTTCTTTAAGTAGAAGCATTTGTTCTACTAACCCCCCCCCCCCCCGATAAGTAAAATCCATA